GGTTTAGGCTTTGGAGACACAGATCTGTGGCACGACCTGCAAAATGGGAACCAATCATATCTGATCGGGTAGTTGTTGTGAAGCAAGCCATGATGGCAGTGTTCGCCATAGTTAGTTAGCGCTTGGCTGCTCAGTAGATACTTGACATTATTCTCATCATTAAATCATCCTCTTGGTGGTTATTATGAGAGTAGTATTATCTCCAGTTTTCTGAACGGAAGCTGCCTCCCAGAGAGCCTGGTGTAGCGCTATGGGGTAATGCGCTGGACTGCAAGTTCAGTTTGAACCGAAAGAGCAGCGATCCAAGTTCACCAGCTGCTCCTTGGAAACCCTACCTAGGGTCGCTATGAGTCAGAGCCGACTCAATGGCAATTAACAGCAAGGCAAAATAAGCTCTTAGGGCTTTAATTTCCTTGTCCAGAAACATGGAAATACTCTCATTATAACCACCAGGAGTTTCCTGGAGTGCCGCTGTAGGAAAAGCACTGGACTTCAAGGTCGATTTGAACAGCAAGGTCGGCGGTTCAAACCCACTAATCACTCCTCGGAAACCCTATACAGGGTCACTATGAGTCGGAATCAACTTGACTGCACTTAAAAACAACAAGGTAAAATAACTAGTAAATAGTAGAGCTGGGATTTGAACCCTGGCCTCTCTGACTCTAGGAGTCAAATGCTTTACATGTCTTCCCAGCATGTAATAATAGCTAGATTTAAAAAGATAGTGATTAATTAAAATATATGGGAAGAGGGGACAGAGGATGTGGAAAATGCTACTACTAGCCACTTCTCTTTTCTACTTTGGATGTATGTCATCTCATTATATGAAGAGTTCTGTTTTAGTGAAAAAACTGCAAGTCTGTTTAAACTAAATCAAAGAGTTTATTTCAGCAAGTGTTTTGCAAAACGGAAATGTAAAGTCCAGAAGCCCTTGACAAAATGCTCTGAGGAACTACAGAGTTCTGTTCGTTCTGTTGTTGCATGCTGACGAGTTGTCTCTGACTCATAGCGACCCTCTACAGAAGCAGCTTAGTGGGTTTGAACTGCTGACCTGGTGGTTCAAAGTCCAGTGCTGATCCTACAGCACCACACCACGAGTCTGCATTTACTCAGCAGTACAAATTAGCGATGTGATGTTTAATTGTGTTGCATGATGCATTAAAATCTTATAGGTACCCCAGAGTAATACATTGAGCTATTTATTATGTGCCTATCATGTTTTATTCATAGTATTCAGTGTCCTCCTAGACTATAAATTTATGAGGGGGCTTCAGAAAGTTGGGGAAAAAACTCCATTCTCTTTTAATTCTATTGTTCCACTAACTCTTTTAAGCCCCCTCAGAATCTATAACCCTATTTTTTTTGTAACTAAGTGCTTGGTGCTTTTTGATGTGATTGTAGTTATGGGCAAGATAAAAATTACAATTCTCATCTCTACCGTTTCTCCCAATGCCAAATGAGTAGTTGGAATCGATGAAGAAGAGTCGCCTTGGTACTTGAGTATTCTGTAAATGTCGGAGGTGTCCTCCTCCTTGTAAAAGACCTAGGAAGACTGCGATTGTCGCAGCTGTAAAGGTAGAAATTCTGTAGCAAAAAGGGGTGAGTGGTTGTTCTTACAGTCCAGGAACTGAGGACCCTGGGACCATCAAGGGAGAAGAGTGGGAGCAGACTGTGGGACCCTGCTCAGAGAAGCCGCTCCATCAGAGATGGAGGCAGAGATGATGATGTGGAGAGATGGAGCGTCTGGGAACTCTAGACTCATGGAGGGAGAGGGGCTGTGTGCTGGCAGCTGGGGGAGCAGACTTGCAGGGTGTACCCTTTGGTTGTTGAATGATTGTATATTCCTGAGTGTTTTGGTATACATAAAAAAACAACAACAGAGGGAATACAAGCAAATACTGTTGAATGGTGATGCATGTAGGGGGTTGTAATCATTGCAATGAAATGAAATACAATAGAATAAGTGTAAAACTGATGTTCTCCCATGTAAACTATCACTCAATTTACAATAAAAACTTTTTAAAAAAGACCTAGGAAGAAGTGTAGGCTGATCATGGCAGATTGTTTACAGGTGGATGTGTGAACTCTCGTTTCTCTCTTTCTATTGCTTGAACACATACTTGGCTCCCCAGACCATGTGTACTGGACTGAGACCCTACTAAGGCACAGACACTCTATCAGTGGCCCCAATACTCACAGGAGTCCTGGTGTGGGCTATGGGTTAATGCGTCAGACTGCACAGTCGTTTGAACTGCAAGGTCAGTGGTTCAAGCTCACCAGCTGCTCCTTGGAAACCCTATACAGGGTAGCTAAGGGTCGGAATCAACTCAACAGCACTTAACAAAAACAGTACTCTACATGGCTGGGCGACTGACTTCTTTGACCCGAAAACACATGTTTGTCTGTCGAGTTGGTTCCGACTCACAGTGACACTATGTACAACAGAACAGTCAACAGCCCGGTCCTGCATTTTCCTCACACTTGTTTTGTTTGAGTCCATTTTTGCAGCTACTGTGTCGACCCATCTTGTTGGGGGTGCTCCTGTTTTTCACTGACTGTCCATTTACAAAGCCTGATGTCCTTCTTCAGAGACTGATCCCTCCTGATGACGTGTCTCACCACCCTTGTTTCCAAGCAGCAATTGGGCTATGGTGGTGGTGTGCCATGGAGTTGGTTCCAACTCAGAGCTACCCTGTATGCTTGTAGGCTATAAATCTTTACGGGAGCAAGATGCCTCATCTTTCTCCCACAGAATGGCCGGGCCTTTTGAACTGCAGACCTTGAGGTTAACAGCTCCTCTCAGAACCATTAAGCTACCAGAGCTCCTTATTCTGGCTGTAGTTTTTCCAAAATAGATTTGTTTGTATTTCTGGCAGTATATGTTTAATCTAAGGAGCTCTGGTAATGTAGTGGCTATAAATTGGGCTGTGAACCTCAAGGTCACCAGTTCAAAACTATCAGCTGTTCCGCGGGAGAAAGGTGAGGCTTTCTGCTCCCATAAAGATTTACAGCCTTGGAAACCCTGTACAGGGTCGCTATGAGTCGGAACTGACTCCACGGCACATAACAA